CTAAAATTAAGATCTTATTACATTTTATCTAATAACTTCGAAAACTAAAATGCAATAAAATTAAAAAATTCCCAGAACCTGATTTTCCTAGCAATCTTCCCATATCATCATCTATTGTATAATTATCGTTCGTTATTTTACAATTCATGAATTTTCAACTACATATTTTTTTCCATTCTTATTAACACATGAATATGGATAGTATCATTTTTTAAGCTTATTAGAAGTTCTATTTTACTTAAAATGCATTTTTTAAAATTTCATATAAAAAAAGAAATTTTTATTATAATTTTTATATTTTGATTTACTTATTCCTTTTATGCTTGCTTATTCATCAAAGTTTTACTTCCGTGTTGAATGGCGCAGCATTAGACGCTTAATCGTTTAATTGATTTTTAGTTTTATTTTTAAATATAGTTTAGCTAATTTTTATGGAAAATCTAGAAACAAAGGCAAAAGTATTGGCGCACAAATTTTCACACTCATTGTCGCACAAAATGATCAGACTTAAAAATAAAATAAGTTTGCTTCTTTCAATCATGATAGCAGGAATTTACAATATTTCGGAAATTACTCCTAACTTGCTTTTTGATCTTCTTAATGTGTAATTAAATTTCTTCAATTATTAAAATAAAGTTGTTGCTTTATTTATTTATTCTTTATTTTTTATTTTGCATATAGGAACTAGGCGATTTTAACAGAAAAGTTGCGATTACTATCAAAAACCTTTCCCACAAGTAACTCTCGAGTATCCAGAAGTTTATATTGAATCAGGAACGTCTAATTATGGGCTTCCTATGAATCAACTAACAAATGATAAAGGGTTAGTTTGGGGTGCTCGTAAGACTGCTGGCTTTACTGGAGGAACCGTAGGTGTCATTGTGTACCATCTTAAAGATCGTAATGAATCTTTGTCCTTCATGTGGAGCGTCCCATTTAACTACGGCTTTTACTCTAATTGATGGAATATAAAAATTTTTAAAGGTCGTGTTAGAGCTAACCAAGGTAAGATTGATCTCCAGGCTTTAATTATCCAAACTTATCATCACGATATTTATCTTTGTGTCATTGTTTTAGCATTATATGAAAGGATGTATCATGACCTTCCCCATGAAGGTGACAATAATATCCATCGCGGAATTCTAAATTCTGATCTTCTATACTCGGGATCCATGGGAAACTCTGGAACACCTACTATTGAAATAGAGATTTTAAATTATAGAACTATTAGTACAGCTTCTTCTTCCGCTTATGTTAGCGAAAAAAAAGAAGTTATTAAAAAATTTTTCTAAGTTTATGATATAAATTCATTCGAGTTTTTGGATTTTCGTTAAAAAAAAAAATAATAATTAAAACTTTTTTTCATTTTGTCCGATGGTTATTATTGTTTGCTCATTTAGGAAATTTTAAAGTAATACGAAAAAGTCACGTGAACAGTTATCAATACTTAATGAAGTTTAGATTAGGTACTTCCATAATACGAACGTTTCCTTGATATCATGTACATTTACTGCGGACAAATGATCGTTACATGAAAAAAAAGTTGTTTACATGTCGTGCAGTGCAAGCACAAATGTAGTATAACACGAATGAACAATTGTTTATAACACATAATTATTAAAAAAAAAATATATTATTTTATTTTAACTAGCCTTAATTAATATTATGAATTGCAAGACATATAAGTTGATTTTCTTCATATTAAGTTATTTTTTCTTTAAAGTTGAGCCATTTATTCCTTTAGGACGTCAAGCTCATTCCTCTGTCCTTGTTGAAAATAGGCTTTATTTTTTTGGCGGAGTTTCTGTTGATGAAAGTTGTTTAAATGAAGTCTTCTATCTTGATTTATCTCAACAATTTAATGTAGAGCTTCCGCTATGGACCGACCTTACATTAAAATCAGAAATAGGATTTAAAAGTTGTTGGGCAGCTACTGCATTAACTAATAATGATAATAATCCAACAATTTACCTAATTGGAGGAATAATGAGAGATCAAAATAATGAAGATATATTTACTTCTCTGGTATATACATATAATCTAAAATCAGAACAATGGAATATACCTGTAATGAAGGGGGAAGTTCCAGTACAACGTAGAGAATTTCAAGCTGTTGCAGATGATTTTGGAACTATTTTTGTTTTTGGTGGAGGTGCCGATTCAGGTATAGAATCAATAATAAGAATTCATGGTAATAAAAGAATTGGTCGATATTTTAATGACATGGCAATATTAAATACTCATGATTCAACATGGTCATATGGCCCTATTGTCAATGCTCCCTCACCGCGAGCTGGTTTTACTGCGACATTATTATCAAATGGTGTTATTATATATATTGGTGGTATAGCGGATCTCATTGGTAACAGACATTTCGTAGATATTAATCAATTTTACCTTTATGATACCAAATTATCGTCTTGGGCAGTAGTGGTACGTATTTATATTAATATAAACTCCTTTGTTAGAAAAATTTAAAAATGTAAACTTTTTATTTAATTTATTAAGCAAGCGAAAAGTAACGGTCAAATTGAATCTCGCTATTTACACTCGGCAGTTCTAGGTATATTTTTTTTTTTACAATTCGTGTTTTAAAATATAGTAATTAATTTATTATATACATATATATATTATTAGTTTCTGATGGAAGAATCATAATTTATGGAGGGGCAAAAGATATTTTAGACATTGATGATGTTAAAGTTTTTCCCGATTTGGCGGTTTTAAATACTTCAACATATCCATTTGAATGGACTATCCCAAAAGTATCAAATAATAGTGAAATTCCATCGCTTACAGCTCATACAGCACATTTAGTTGGAGATTATATGATTGTTGCATTTGGTAAGTAATTATTTACATTTTCATTTAATCTGAAAGTTTTAATATTAACTATATTGAATTATAGGAAATATGACTCAACCAAAGGCTCCTCCGTCAGGTAAAAGTTCAAGAATTTATTTATTAGATATTAGAAGCTATACTTGGGTTGATAAATTTGTCCCTGAGCCTATTCCGACAAATCCTTCGACAACTACGACTTCTGCAAAACCAAAAATTACTACAGAAACTACAAATAGATTAAGTCAGGAAATGAAAGTTATAATTGGTACTATAAGTGGAATTGCCTGCGTCGCAATATTATCAACTATAGGAATCATAAGTTATAAATTGTACCAAAAAAGAAAACATGATATTATAAGGATTTCAGGCAATATTTAACTTTTTAATGGTGCTCAAAAGTTTTTTTTTAGGTTTAAATTGATCATGTCAATTAGTCCAATGTATTTCGATACCCAGAATTACAAATTCATTTATTTATTCAGGAGCAATCGAGAAATCTGGTTATAGATTAATCAAAATTAATTAATAAATTAATAAAAAGAAATTTACTTCAAATTTGTTAAAAATTAGCTGAACTCAGCAACATATTTATTTTATTTTTTTTTTTTTTCAAATACTATACTACTCGATCGCTGCGGCCTGTAACGTTCAAGTCCCCGAAAAAGAAAAAAACTGAATAATTATATAAAAAATAAAAAATAAAAAATTACTTTTTACTTTGGAGTGATCGCATCCGAAAAAAATGAGGAATCTATAAAAAAGCAAATAAAAAAAAAAAATGGAACCGAGCTTTTTTTGCGGGATAATTTTGAAATTACTGAAATAAAAAAAATAACCATAGAAACAAAATCATTCGTTTTGTTGCAGACCGGAGAAATCGAACCAGAAACGTAAAAAAACATCAAAAAGAAAATAATTGAAATTAAATATACAAGCCGTTTACATAAAGCATAAATAAGAACTAAAAAATTAGAAAAAAACCGCTGATAAGGTAACAAAATAGAGTATCTTTAATTATTCCTCGTCTAGATTCATTTCATATCAATCAGTTTATGTTCCTTAAGTATATTTAGAACGGGAGCTGAATTAGACTATAAAATGTAAAATTTGTGAAATGTTATTTTTTTGATAAAATAATTTTTTCAAATTCGATCAAAATCGTGCCATAAATAAAATTGATTGGAATCGAACTCGAGTAACGATTAATCGCGATAATCTTTTAAAAAATGAAACTTTTTTTTAATCCAATCCCAAAGTTGAATTTTAAACGATCTATTTGAACCAATCATATTTAAGTGTCTCCAAAATACTTATAAAAGAACGCCAAGATGAATTTTGAACAATTCTTTAATACTAACAAAGTCCCAATGGTTGTGGGTATTTATTTATTCAATAATTTTGCAGCAAAGTTCATGAAAATATTTAGCAGAGTTAAAAAATAACAATATTTTATTATATAACGAATCAGATGCATGCAAGGATTTTCTCAGCACAACGGTAGAGTTTAAGAACCTTTAAATGTACAAGGAGGTAATAAAATTTTCGCTTCAAATTTGTTCAAGAATAGTAATACGAAACTTTAGAAGAAAAATATACTTTTATACTTCAGAACAAATTCAAGTTAAAGAGCAAAACGTCCCAACACACGACGAAGTCGCTGCCTTTGAAACATATCTGAGTATTGACCTAGGGGCCCCGTTGGTTTTAAAGCTTAAATTCCTAGTACGTAAAACCGTGTCTAGTTCGCCTAGTGCAGGATATGATGACGTGGTATGAACAAGCCATGATAACTATTAACCTTATAAATTATTGTATTCATTTTTTAGTCGAGTTGAATATCCATAATCAGTAACTCTTTGAGATGATGGACGTGTTGGATATGAATTTAAAAATTTTGTTGCTATCAAATACTGTGATTAAAGGCTTCCATTAAAAGATTGTTTCTCGAAACTTCAAAAGGACGTTCATTATATATGTTTTTACGGAAGAGTGTTAAATTATAAACCTTTTAATTTGTGCACTTTTGTTTATCTTTAATTGTAATTCAATAATGGATGTTTTCTTTAATAAATAAAGACAAAAAAGGTGTGAATGAAAATTTTAATTCAGTAATTTTGAATTATTTTTAAATCTAATTGCTCTTTTTTTTCATTTTCATTTTATTTAAAACACGAATTAAACCTGCAGATCCGCCTTATAACACAGATAGTGAAAATCTTGATAAAAAAAAGTGTGTATTTTAAATTCACCTGAAAAGTCGGAAAATTTAAAGAATGTCCAAGAATTCATGATTTAAAAAATAATTCTTAAATTGTACTTTAGATTTATTTTTACCTTGTAAGAATAAATAAAAATATAAGAAGTAATGACTTTCTTGTGTATTTATTTTTTTCTTGAAATAATTATCGCTATCGTTATGGATTAACTCGTCGAAACACGTTATATCGTCGTCATTTAGAAATGGGCTGACTATAACCTACAAGCTATCTTGCGGAGTATCTGAACCTGAAATAGACAATAAGAACAATAAGACTATAGATCACACGTGTAGATTACTGACGCGTTGAACTTTATTCATAAAGAAGAGATCATTGGAAGATGAATATCATACTAACACACAACAAAGATTTATTAGCGTCAAATCTTGAACGTCTGCTTGCAAATTAAGCTTCATGGTTTTCCTTCATCTTTTTTACCGGTTATGTCAATTTTCGTGCAGATCCTAGATGAAAATTTACTCAGAAACATATTTCTGATTTGATAATAATCAATGTTCTCGGTGGAGAACGCTTATCGACAAATATAATTTATGTAATTACCGATAAATCTCAGTGTTGTAAATGCAAGAGAGTAAATATCAATCAATATAGATATCACGAGTTTTGTCAGTGGAAATCATTTTATAGATGCATTTCTCTATAATATGAAATTTATTAGCGCTCATCAATTTGCTTATTTTTTAATTAAATTTGAAAGTATATTATTGGATTATACGAAATTGAAATATTCAATAATGTAATGGATTCCATATGATCATCTTATAAACAAAGAAAAAATAGTGGAAGGGGGATTTGGCATTGTTTATCGAGCAACTAGATTAAATTCTCCTTATAAAAATAGAAATAAATTGTTGCTGTAAATGTTTTAATTTTGTTCTTATAAATACATTGCACTTAATATTAAATGATTTGTTTTGTTAGTATAATAATTTTAGTTATTATCGTTATATCATTGCAACAAATAGAGATTATTTCAACATGTTATTCGATGCTATGTATGGGATTTCATAAGATCCAGAGACAATGTTGATAATGAATTATGCAGAAGGAAATTTGCATAAATATCTTCAAGAAAATTTTATAGATATTGTGGTATAAATTACGCATTTTATTTGATATTTCACAAGGGTACTTAAGTTTTTAATACAACTTATAAAGTTGGTTTAATATTAATTAATATACAGAAAAATTTGTGCTTTTTTTAAGACTTTGTGGAATTCATGAAAATTATACTATACATCGAGACCTTCATAGTGGAAATATACTAAATGAATTAAATGAGACCGATTCACTTATGGGGAGTTATAAAAGTATTAAGTGGTGTATTGGAGATCTAGGACTATCACAACCCGCGGTGGTTTCGCTTAATAATGAAATATTTAAGGGTGCTATGTCTTCAAAAGAAACTGATATTTGTAGTTTGGGTATGATCATGTGGAAATTAACGTCAGGTTGTAAACCGTTTGATAATGTTGAGCATGATCATAACCTTATTTATGAAATTATTGATGGAAATCGACCTGAAATTACCCAAGATACTCCCGAATGATATGCTAATTTAATGAATAAGTTTTGGGATCAAAAGACCCTTTATTGCAGAAATTTGTGAAATCATTATCCAGTGGCATACTATAGTAGTAGATGCTGAACAATTTAAACGATCTGAAACAAAATGATTAGAATTGATTCAATCAACTTCATTTTGTTCTGGATTTAAAAAAAGCCTCATCCAAAAGCAGTTTATACGAGTAGGCCATTAAGCTCGATGACTATTAAATCTATCGAATCCTCAACTACTAGTTCATTGTTGACAATTTCGTCTAATTCAAGTCAAGGTATTTTAAACAATTTTAACAAATTACTAAAATCAATTTAAATAAATCGAATTAATTTAACTTACTTATTTTTAGAGTACTAGAGTTTGATATATAGTAAATAATATTTAAAGGTATTTATAATTATTAAACGTGAAATTTTAATTTATATTTTGTGCCCATAATTAATTTTAAATATTATATAAGGCCATCTAACAAATTATATGTTCAAAATTTTTCAGAAATTCAACATTATATTATTAAATACATAATTTAACGATTGAAGTTACAATTTTTTTTTTAGAAGGATAATTTCGATTTTAAAATGTTTTTAAATTTAAATAAATTTATATTTTCATTGGGTCAATTGTTAAAATTAGTAGAGTCTTCCTTAACTAGATAAAAACATTCGAATTTAAGATAAATTTCATTGAATGTTGATTTGAAATATGCGAAGCGAAATTTCTCTACCAAATTTTTTTTTATTATCACGAAATTATAATAGTAGTGGTGCATTGGAAAAATTTCAAGTGATTGATAAATGCGCAGTACTATGATGAATCACAATCTATATAATCTTTGACCATTAAATTTTTGTTTTGAAAAGAAAAATATTAAAAATATCAAAGGATTATTAAGTATAATAATTTAATTACAATTTACATCATAAAAGCAAGAAAATAATAAATTAAAATGCATGTACTTGTATTCAATATTAAATTGAAAGGCGAATAAAAGTTCGAATCCATTCTTTTTAGTGACGACTATTATTTGTCATCATGAAAATAACCAGTCTGCTATGACGTTAAGTCAATTCCTGACTCGACATTAACTTTCATCTACGAAATGTTTTAGAATTCGCGGTGTAATTCTCACAAGAAATTTATAATGATAATGAGAAAATAAAAAACTTATGATGTAAGAAAAGTTTCATTATTTTTTATTTTTTATACATGATTTCTAGTAGGTCATATTTTAATTTACTAAAATACTACTCTGCTCTATATATATCATAATTAAATTTCGACTAGTAAACTAATGTTTTTTACTTATGTAACAAATCTTATAACTTACCAAGAGACGATTTTAAACCCACGCTCTTTTTATTTTTTAGTTTGAAGATATTGAATACTGGATTTTATAATCACTCGAATTATAGTATTATACTTTCTAAGCACTAAAAAGTACGACATCCTCAGATTCTAGGAAAATTTTTTCTCGTCATACGGTATAACATAGCTACGTCCGACGAAATAATGTTTCAAGATGTTTTTTGTTTATCAAATAGAAGATTAGTTTTTCATTTTTAAAATTTATTTTGAAGCATCTAATACTTCATGATGATAATTTGCTGTATGAACGCACAATCTGCCGGAACATGAATATATGTTACCGTCATGGATCTATTTTATTTAAAAATTACTAACAACCTTGTTTGCTATTTCTTCTCGGAAAATTTAAATTATGTGCGAAGAGATTCTCGGCTTTTTTAGATATGTCGAACCTAAACCACTATCAATCGCATAGCTTGTTAATAATACAAAATGACGGTCGATCTGCAGTACTTGCTCGTTCTTTATGCATTTGAATACCTTCTTTTATAAAAAAACCGGTATTTTGAAGAAAGCCGAATCTCTGTATTTTTAAACGATTCCAAAGAAATTTAAGTGAATTCCATAATCGATACTTGGATTTTTATAATTGTATTTGGGTATAACTGACAATGAATTTTAATTGCGTTGAAATGAAAATTTCGTTTACAAAACTAATTCGACGAATTTGTTCTTTTACATATTGATTACTGAAAAATTAAATAAGAATGATAATATTTTTTGATATCAAATAAAAACACATAATATAAAAGATATTTTAATAAAAATAATTAATCTATAAATTTAATCATAAAATAGAATATTTTACATGTGAATAATTCATTGTCTCTAACCCTTTTTCTTTACATTATTCGATGTATACATTTGAAACGATAAGAAGTTTCTACGTAACTGGAATTTTTTACGTAGAGGTTGGAACCGGTTCAAAGTTAATCTATTCGAACCTCTAGGCAGCTTTCTAGATAGACTTTAAAATAAGTAAAGCATCTAAAAATTGAAGGATTCTGCGATTGTATGTCTATTAATGTTAAGAAATTTCAAGGACAAGTGGATCATCTTTGGGCCTTCGAAGGAACCAGTTTTGGTTGTACTGAAAGAGTCCCATATTGCAAATTATTAACAACCGAATGCCCAAAAATCTATCGTAAAACGTCTAAAACGGAATTTTTCTCGAGTTTAGAATAATTGATTCGTTATATTTCAAAGAACATCTTCATAATTTTCATAAAGCGAGTGATCACCAACTTCCATTTATTCATTTCAACAAACTATAACCAGTAAAATAAAATTACGGATCATATGATTTACTGGCAACGTTCCCATGTTGTTTGCAGATGAAACGTGATCCTCCCTGTAAGTCCATCCTTTCTTTCTCTTGGTTGGCGTAATCGAATCGAATTTAGATTTCAGGAATATATCTTATATCTTTTGAGTTTTCATTTACACAATCATATTAATGAAATTTCTTAAATGATTAATAACTTCATCAAATTGATGAGATTAAACGTTCTCAAAAAATGATGTCCTACTTCTGACGGTACTCTTCCAAATCATAGTAATATACGGTATTG